TCAATAGCTTGAAGGCATGGACACGTCGCACATGGAACCTTGAGTGGAGATTGTAGGGATAGGAGCAAGCCGCTATATCTTATGTGTAGGATGCGTCGGTGGTCTTTCGAGGAATGCAATTATACACGATATAAAGAGATTAGACATACATTAGATTTTAATGTCGAACGAATTGTGTTTGAAGTTTACGTTTGCTAAAGTACGTGTTGACGTGATGTTGACCCCTTTAGACTGAAATCAGCACTACCCTTACCTTACAATGTATAACAAGTCATGACATAGTTTGTATAGGGACGGAGGGACATGGTTAGGAGAAGCCTTTTGTTGTAGTTTTTGTGATTTTTTTTACAAGCGTGATAGTCCACAATCTTTTGCATAGATATTGTTTTATCCATACTAGTCACATCTGAATGAACAGAAAATTATTCTTTAGACTATTCCTTCATGAAATTCACAAAACATTTTAAAAAATATTGAAATATTTTATTTCATAGGTGATGGTGATTATTTTTTATAGTCATTTTGCAATTTTCATCGTCCGTAAGAAGTTGTGCACGGTCTTGACTGATTCAACCTCAAAATACGTACAAAAGTAGTACTCAAAAGGTTTCTAAACTATTCCCCTCTATTAGATATGGTCATGAAATTTAACCAATAAACTGGAAAAACAAGTTATTACTTCATTTTTGTGGTGTTTCACGTGTTTTCATCAACCAATGATTCTGTATTTATTACATTAAAACTGAACGTGGTTAGTGTACGCATCGTTGCAGTTGTTAAACCAGACGTAGTGAACTCGTGACTCAACGCCCTWGCGTTTCACAATGTCGTTATTACGTCCATTTAGTGCGTAAAAGCGCAATTTACCAAGTAATGACGTTAAATGGTTAAACAGTTCATTTAATTTTCCGCGTAATTAGCCATAACGGAACCATCAGACGTCAAATGATTAAACAGCTCATTAAATTTTTCGTAATCGTTTATAACGGAACCATCAGACATAGCCACAACACGTGTATGAGCGGTAATGACATATGTTTACACATTAACTTGACTACCGGTTCGCTTCCTTAGACATGCACAGAACCAGAAGCCACAGCATTGTTTGTTTTTTTTCCTTTATTCAGTAGAGCTTCGTTGTTCCTGTTACCTGAATTGAAAAAACGTGATGTTGTTTAGGAATTGTTTTGAATCCCTACGACGTTGTAGCCATGTCGCAGGAGGAGCTGACGGTCTCGGTTCTTTTAAATAACTGTTCTTGTACGATTTTTTGCCTGGGAAACGGATTTTTAGCTACATTGTTGACAATCTCACAATCAAATGTGGTGCCCTTCCTTCTTTCTTGTTGGCAACCAGTTGTGACTTACAGCTGGCTGTGACATAAGAACAGATATATTTCTCCCATGAACCCGTCTGCTCCTCCTAATTTTGTAAGGATGACTTACGATGGTCGCATGCGATGGTTGTAGGAAAAAGTTGTGTCGTCTAATGCGGCCTTTAGAGGTGATTTAGACGTTCTAGTGCAACATACAATTCTATAATTCGTGAACGTATTAAGATTAGGACATTGAAGTTTATCTACATAAGCTGGACTTAYTTGAAAACTACATCGCTTGTTGATATTAAAAGGGTCGCGAATCTTGACGTCCCGTTCGCAAAAGGTATTATGAAGGCCTTTTCTGAAACAGCATTCGCTTTGCATTTTGGTCTATATTCGGTACAAGCATTTTTTGTAAATGCAACCAAATATGGTATTGTTTGTACTGAAAATAGACCACAACGCACCATTATTTTGTATTCCAGAAAAGGTCTAAGAGCAGTGGATAGCGATTATGTAGTGAGGCAAACAGATGTAAGTAAAATATGATCGTCATATTTGAGTGTGGTGTATGAGAGTATAAACCACGATTGTGCGCGAGCGATTTTTTAAAAAGGCAACAAAATGGATTTTTGCTTAAGTTTTGCTCAAAATCTATATAATAAAACAAATAAATACGGTTCAGCTTGTGCTTCTTGACATTTTCTCGTGTGTTTCAAATGCCAAGCGTGCGTTTATCAGAGTATAAACCACGGCTGAGCCTATTTATTTGTTAAATAATTACAGCAATTCTTCCTTCAACTGAGATTCACGCAATGAAATGACCGCTCACCAACATAGTTCGATTCATAGCTCAGTTGGTAGAGCACTGCACCGGGGTCTCATAGGTCATGTGTTCGATTTCCGTCGAAACCCAAAATGTTATCGGGATACCAAACTTTACTATTGACGTACAGTTAGATAGATTGTTCACATGTCACTRCTACGATTACATTTCACCTGAACAACTTATATTGTACGGCCGAACTTAAAAAGGTTTTTCCAGATCGCAAAATGTTCCAGTTGTCACGTGTATTGATGTGGGTATCCAGTTTCTGCACGTGGAACTTGTCCATGTGCATATAGTATTTTTATACATGCCTTGATATTTCTTCAGTAAAACTTACATTCTAGACCATTTTACACAAGCAGAAGGAGAGTATTTCCATAAGTCACACACCTCTTTCGAGATCGACTGTATAATGATTTATCATATATTATCTATAAAATGCCTATATTTCTCTTTTTTGAGAAGTTGTTATTTGAAAATCTCTTTTACTCATTATCTACGCTSACTCGTTAGAGATCTTTTCAACAGCTAGATAACATGAAATCCGTATCTCCGTACCTATACTAAATATTTGTCCTCTCAAAATGTTAATCCCCCTTGTATTATGTCTTTCTCTTTATAACTTTAATTATTGCATGTAAATACTGGACTAAAAATTATTCACTGCCATGTGATGCATATTGAGGCTGTTATTGACAAAATGGGCACCTTTCCAACTGACCTTGAGAAGTCTTTAAAAAAATGTGTTGCTCAAGAAACAAAAGATCAAGTTTTGCTATTCCAGTGGAGTCAAAACAGGAAAATTTTTCACAGTAAATTAAACTCTTGTAGACGGTAATCCTGGGTCGCCGGAAAACAGTGTAATTAAGATTAATTTACGAAGCTTCCTAGAAGTTTACTTTTTCTCGATAATGTCAAATTGCTTCTAGTTATCGTAATGTATTCGGCAATTTTCTACCAACGCAACTATTACCGCATGTTTCCGTAGAAAACAACATGTAATAAGAGCGTGTCTGAGCGATTGGCCGGGTTGATTTCTTTGTTTTGTGCTGCCATGGGAAAAGACAGGGGGGGGAGTTACTCCCACATATTTGCTATACGGGGACGTGCCGCTGGCCAGGGTATGGTTTTTGGCCTTGCTGTCTTAAACAGGGTATACATTTGACCCGAAATTGTCTTAAACCGGCTCTACAATTTAGATAAAAGGCCGAGATAATTATTTTTCGTGTCTTGGACAGGGTACTTTTCATAAGAAATACCGAAGAAATAGTAGAAATACCGTTTTCACTGTACCAGGATTAACGTGTTATCAAAACCTTTTTATTGTCTTTGATGGATGTCAATATAATTGTAGGGGGAAAAGAAAGCAGACCGTTGAACCGGATCAGCCCKCTTCATGTAATCAGGCCCTAAAAATTATTTAAGTAATGCCCCGAGTAAGAACTAGGGAAGCAAACGGCACAGGAATGCAAGAAGGTGCTAATTGCGCATTGTATAATCCATCCATCCCATTGGTTAAAACATGAAAATCTGCTATAATTTCACAAGTTAGCGAATTTTCTAATATTTTATTTAATGTCTGTTTTCGCTTTCATGAAAGCTTTCTTTAGCTTCAATATTAAGGCAATTCTATGTGGGGAACATTGCAAATTAGAAGCATCCGTTTTGGCTATTGTTTTGAGTGCTTATGATTGGATAAGAGCTTTTAATACAAAAGAAACTTTGTTCAAAATAGACTTTAACCACATTTTATTTCAAAAATGTGTTACCCACAGATGGATACATGATCAGTGTGAAAACCAAGACATTCGTACATKGGGAACTTGCTATGCCGCASAACAATARASAGTTCCCTAGTTCTTTAGCGCATTGTTACTTAATTCACACATGCCATCACAATCGGTTTTAAATGGAGTAAAATCTAACCAATGATTTTTGCTCTTTTACTTGGAACACACTTTTCTATATAGTACGTATGTCTTCAATTTCATTCTGCTGTTGCACTGGGCTCATTCCACTAAAGTGCTTTTAAACCACATTTTTTTACATTTTGGACAGAAAATATAATCTATCTTTATAGTGTTAGTGTATTTTTTTCGAATCTGACGCCGCGTTCATTTTTTTCTGGCGCCGAAATTGGATACAAACAGTACAATAGCCGAGCTCCTAGAATCTCCTAGAAGGACTTGTGATGTCATCGTAGTAACGGGTCTCAAGATGTATATTTTCTGTGACAAAATGTTGTTTAATGTAAGCTTTACTGAAAGCACACATACAATACATATACTGCGTACTAACAGAAAGCTAAGAGAAATCAGGTTTGGCGCGTTTATCGCTTGCTACCATAACGTCAGGAATTTCTTGGTACCAACCAAGCTTAAATTTGATGTAAATTTACATCAAATTTACATCATTTTGGACACTTACATAATATTTACATCAAATTTACAACCTTTAAAGCGCGCGATTTTTTCCAGTGAACTCGCTTTATTATTCGATGTAAATTACAAAGGGAGCCCAAACTGCAAATATTTCGAGCGTTGATTTTTACACAGAAACCTGTTCGGGTGGATCGCGTGCTGCGAAGTCCGGTCGACGACAACTTTTTTTCAATCGACTATATGTGCCTCGCTTGTCGCAAGGTAGCTATACTATCATGAGGAGTTASATATCTTGTTTTTCCTATCATTTCTCTTTGTCCTCTTCCTCTTTGAACTCTTGCTCTTTTAGTACTTTAGGTCAGGACCACAGGCATCCAAGAATAWCTGCGATCTTTTGTTTTGCTTTTTAAATTATCTCTTGTTGGCATTTCGGATTGAAGAAATAAATCGTGCAAAGGYTCTTGGTTTATTTAGGCCTTTTATTATGAATTTGCAACTCTATTTATCAACAATAAATTACCTAGGATATCCCCAAAAGAAAAAGGGTTTTTAAAAAACGAGGATTATAACAAATGCCAACTATAGCATTTCAGCTGCTTACTGTTCATTCCACATTCCTTTTCTATTGTGGTAGAAGTGATAGAATCCTGGCAGTCTTAGCTTCTCGATTTCATATCCCTTATTGATAACCCTATCGACCATTTCCCAGTCCTCCCCTCCCCACTTGTTTTTGAATTCCTTTTCATTCATCCCACCAAAGGAATCCCAGTCTGATTTGTAGACACCTGCAAAGACATAAATCATCCAATCAGCTGATCAAACAACGGTTTTTATGGATCAATCTTGATGCACTAATCGATCAGGAACACAAACACTCCAAACTATTTATTAAGATAATATGCGGTTGTTCCCCCCATAGTTAGATACAATTTTTTCAAAAGACCCACCCACTTAACCATTTGACCAGAGCTCCACTCTTTTGATTCTTAAGAAATAAATGGTGGGAACATGCGGTAACTAGTTTGAGCTGCGTCGGTGCTTCTAAAGAAACAGCTGTGTAAAGAAGAATTAACATCCCAAACGTCAGTAAGTTATTTCACCCACTCTTTTACGGTGTTAAATTTATCTTTTTACACAACTGTTTCTTAAAAGAAATATGTTGTTAGGATATACAAGTAATGTATGATGATAATTTTGCATGATTTTTGTTTGGTTCGTCCACCCTCAAAACAACCAGCCCCCCTCTCCCTCCCTAATAATTAGAGAGTTTAAGCATCACGTTGACGCCAAACGGCTAACGGCAGAGCTGAACCAATGACCTAAGAATTTCGTGCCTGACCTTGTGCTTTTGGTAGTCATTTGAAAGAGCAACTTTTCACGAGTATGGCAACCTCAAACTAATCCGCTCTCGTGTTGAAACTGCAATGTTAAACTCAAAAAAAGCAGGTTGCGTGATCTTTTGTGCCGTTTGGCGCTGGCCGTGAACGTCAAGCTAAACCTCTCTAATAATAAACAAATACAACTTACTGAAAACGCCAAAGCCATAGGGTTCATAAAATCCTTCGGAATAGACGTACTTCGTTCTAGGTCTGCCACAAAATGCTAGTCTCGTTAAAATTGGACTGAATGCCATTTTTCCTTGTATGGTGTGCTGAATTATGAATGAAATAGAAATGATTAAACTTGATATAAGGCGATTTGCTCTATGACGGCATATATTAGCCATGTGCCAAACGAGCAGGAGGCTGGCACTAGTTSTTGYAAATGAGTTTTTTACTCGGAAAGAAATTAAAAAGAGGTACCGAAATAACTTATTTGTACTAAATTTCGCCCACGAAATATAATATTTGTGTTCCAAATAAGGTACTACATGGTATGATGTTATATGATATAGCTTTTTATTGAACTTTTCATTAAAAGAAACTTAAAAAGTTCCGAAAATTGTAACTTTACTACTGGAGCTGTCCATTAATCCATACTTTCCTAATTGCAAATATCTGATAAAGTTCAGTCTAAATGACCGACTTGTGTATTTTGATGCACTGCTCCCGCTGATTTTTGATTGCTTCAAATAGTATATGCAAAAATAAGATTTTTTGATTTAGTACTCAGTCCTCTTCTTATTTATAACACATGGCTAACAACACGATTATTGATATTGAAGAAAAAACCGTGTAGCGATATCATACCTTACGAACGACATCAAAAAGATTCAATGGCATTTTGAAATGAAGATCAGTCAAGAAGACGATGCTGTTTGGATCCTCGATTTGACTCGCCGCCAAATTGATGGTAGCCGTCTTATGAAAAGTTCCATTTCTTTTGATGATGGAAAAACGTTTAATTCCATTTCTAAAGGAATAATTGAATATATGGATTGAATGAATAATAGACCTCTGAAGCTTTTAAGTCATGTACCGTATGCGCAAAATTTCTTTTGCTTTCTCTTAGAACTGATCCCACAATGCATTGAAAATCAAGTAGTGACGTAAAAGGCTCAGAGGTATATGATTTGATATTTGGATGGATGGGTTTTCTAGGAAACGCATTCTTACAAAGCTTAATTTTTGTTTAATCGATTGATCGCATTCTCTTGTAGCCAAAAATAGTCATTCTGTGTCTGGTTGTATAAAGAATCATCGTGAATAGCACAAATCAGCAGAATAAATCTTTATCCAGTGGATATACTGCTTGGAATGGATATCTCTATTTCATACAAACGGTTACTATCCCTACAACACCTTACAACACCTAGCGCGCAGCTATAGACATGTATTAAATTCGGTGAATATATTATGTRTAGTTTAAAACACTCGAGATCGTGTTTTAGCGAGAATCTTTATACCTGATAAAACACGATCTCGAGTGTTTTAAACGGCTTAAAAAACTCCAACACTAATTTGAAACTCAAATCCGTTAAAATTMTTGGAGAAATTGCCGTACAAATATGTTCAGAGATAAATGGGGCAAACTGATCATGCGCGAATCACTTTACAAAGCACTCTTGYCATCCCACATTGAATACGCATAAAGTAAAATAGAACCGCTCTTGGCTGTTCGCTGAAATCGGTTGACATCCTGCATTGGTTAATGATCAGGTTTCAAACCTGAGACCTTTGCTAGGGTCATGGACCTTTATATCTGATAAAGGTCACCCTTATTAGTATTCTTTATATAAAGAATACTAATAAGGAGTGTTTTATCAGATATAAAGGTCCAGGCATGTGACCAAATAGGCTCATTCTATTGGCCTAGTAGCTCATTAATTATGTATGAGTTTTTTAAGTGAAATTTATTGACTCTAAAGGAGGGCCGTACAGGTGAGTAAAACGGACCCAGTGCWGCAAGCCATTTTATCGTACGACCTCATCGTTTTTCTTCGTTTTCTAAAAGTTTTCATAAGACCACCAGCAAATACAGGTCATAAGTAAAAAGAAATCACAAATACCAATTTCCACTACTACTATGTCTTGTCTTTTCATGAAAAAAATAAAGTGGAACCTTTTTAATTCAGCCTTCGAATGAACAAAGAAAAGTGGACGTATAAAAGGTGTGACCGTATTAAACGCGGGGTAGTAAAGTTGCCGTGACTTAAAAATTTGCCCGTTTAATTTATGACGATGTGGTCGTATTAAGCGGGAGTAGTATAGTCGGGAAGGGACGGAGTTCCTTTAGACGCCCCATTAGCTACGGATATGAATAGGGAGACCTTATGACCTCCCAAGTTTTCCGAAATTTTGTGATGTTATGAGTTGGAGTGCCTGGTGACCTCCCAGTCCATCTAAAAAGATGCTAAAAATAGCCCCTCGAAAGTACCCTCCCCAGGCACCCCACAAAAGGCGCCCAGACCCCCGCTGTCAGAATCGGAAGGAAACGCCTGGAAATAGTAAAAAGCATATTAAGGAGAGCGAGTCCACACGTTAGTACTACAAAGTGGTTGTTTAGCAGTACTGGATTTAGGCGTAGCCATCTTCGTGATCTTGTAATGCGTTTCTGTAAAAGTCACGTCTTGAGGATTTTTACCAATTTGCATTACTCTTGTGCCGCTGCCGCTCTTGATTATTTCTCTAGATTCTTCTTCTGCCATATAAAAAAGCCAATGAAGAACAAATTTTGAATAAAAAACTCGTGATTATTTATTGATCTAAAATGAAATTAAAAATCCCTTCACTTTCATATAATCGACTTCCATTCACCATTTCCAGGCGTTACCTTACGAATGTGACTTTTGGGGCTGGACGCCTTTTGTGGGGTGCCTGTGGAGGGTACTTTCGAGGGGCTATTTTTAGCATTTTTAAGATGGACTGGGAGGTCACCAAGCACTACAACTCATAACCTCACAACATTTCGGAAAACTTGGGAGGTCATACGGTCTCCCTATTCATACCCGTAGCTAATGGGGCGTCTAGAGGAACTCCGTCCCTTCCCGACTATACTACTAGCGGGTGCCCCTGAGACGTGGTACAGCATTTGACAAATTGCGCTCACTCTTGACGTCAATAAATATTCAAAACTCAAGTGGACCCATGATCGCAGCAAGTGTGTTCACTGCAAAGTTTTGAACATTTTATGACGTCAAGAGTGTGTCAACAAGAGGACATACAACAACACATTTTTAGTCTAATAATTTGCGGAAATCATTATTTTCTTTCAAGTGAGTGCGCGCGAGACGTGGTGTCAGCAGAGTGTGCATGTCCTCTTATTGACACACTCTAATCAGCCAATCAGCGCGCGAGAATTTACACTAGTGTGGTAAAAAATGCTTTTGCAGCATGCTGCGGAAAGACCAAAAAGAAAACCATGTCAAAACCATGTTTACATACTATGATACAAAGACGACATTCGTTCAATCAGAACGCGCGTAGTATCCAAGTTATTTTATAAAACTGTATACATACTGATTGACCTTATCATTTCTTTACCAATGTCAATCCTGTCATTACCATAATCCACAATGATAAAAGTGACATGGTCGTCATGAGTCTCTTTCAGTATCTGCGCCATTTGCTTCACATAGTACACTACCCATCCAGACTGACCACTAGCGTTGAGAATAACATTGATCCATACGTTTGTTTTCCAACGCATGTTTTCCAGAAAACAAAGGCTAGGTCTGATTTGATTCATTTTTTGAAAAAAGAACTCCGAGAAACGGTAGAGCTTGTCACTTTCTCTAGTTCGAAGTACCAATTCTAGAAGGTATTTTCCCCCCTTGAGTTCCTTGGGACTGTATTGTTCAATGTTGGTTATACTGTGCAATAGGTATATTCTGTAAAACCAAACGCTGTTAGTAACGTAAAGCCCAGTTTACACTCTGGCGATTTATGTGGGTTTTGATCCTAGAGAATACTGCTAAAGAATTTTAATTCTTAAAACTCGTAAACATTTTTCAATACACTAAGATGTGCTAACTAAACGCGTCCAAAGAAGGATAAGACAAAATATATTATATTCATGGCCAGAAAATCAGGACATACGAGCCCGCAATAGCAGCGGTACTTCGCATAAATCACAAAAACATGTTTGTTAAATTTTAAAAAGAAAAGTACGGATCAAAAAAACTATTTGAGAATAACTTTTCACCGTAGCTGATCGTGTTTCTTTACATGTCATTGATATTTCAAAGATCATTTCTCAAAGTCCACATATTGAGGTATAGAAACACAGCAATTTTCAGCTATTTTGAAGACGATAAACAGCATCCTTTTTGGTACTAGAAATCGTACAATTTGAAAACACTAACTTGGCAGTGTATTGGCTGGCGACGACTCGTGTTTCACGCGAATAATTGTCCTCGATCTTCCATATTCTTTCCATTTTATTCGACATGTTTGAAAAGTACCAAAATAAACTTTAGAAACGTGGCTTTCAGACTGGGACTGCTTTAATTTTGGCGGTTTTTACTGGCGCCTTGCGCACACTGGTAAATAGCGGGAAATGCGAACGAAAGATAGACCAATTAAGTCTACGCTATTTAGTGTAAACAATGTCAGACCTTTTTTAAAATTCCTTAGAAATGTACAAGTATAAACAAAAGATCACAATATCAACTGATCGAGAGGAGCTGACGGGCTCCTGGGAGAAAGATATCTGTTCTTATGTCCCAGCCAGCTGTAAGTCACAACTGGTTGCCATCGAGAAATTCAGGAAAACATAACTCTCCAGACAAGGAATACCTTCAAAGAATTTTTTCCAGGAAAATAAAAATTTCCTAACTAACAAAACTATTAGTCGTTTTTGACCATAAAAACGCTATAAAAGTCATTTTTGACCTTAGGTTAAACGTTTTTTTCATTGTGTTTATTATGGATGGCATGGTTGACTGCGAAATGGCTATCTTTATTCATATAATTTGGAACATAATATAGGGGAAAAGAAAGTCATGGCCAGAAAATCCGGACATTTGAGCCCGCAATCGCAGCGGTACTTCGCATAAATGCATAAAAACATGAATGTAAATTTTACAAAGAAATGTATGGATCAAAAAAAATATTTGAGAATAACATTTCATCTGTTTTAATTGGAAAAATTCCATAGATGGATTCGTAAAGGGAAACTATTCTTGATTCCACTGTAGGAAATCCAAATAAATCCAATATTGTTAACAGCGTCCTTTTTGACCATATATTTTCCTTTCGTCGTCTCCCTTTGGCCTTGTATCTCATGGTGAAAATTCGCGAAGAAGCGAAATTTCACCGTGGCTGATCGTGTTCCTTTACATTTCACTGATATTCCATAGATCATTTCTCAAAGTCCACATATTGAAGTAGGAACACAGCGATTTTCAGCTATTTTGAAGACGATCAACAGCGTCCATTTTGGTACTAGAAATCGTACAAAAACTAACTTGACGGTGAAATGGCTGGCGAAGACGCGTGTTTCACGCCAATAATTGGCCTCGATCTTCCATTTTCTTTTCATTTTATACGCCATGTTTGGTACCAAAATAAACCTTAGAAACGTGGCTTTCAGACTAGGACTACTTTAATTTTGGCGGTTTTTACTGGCGCCTTGCGCGCAGTGGTAAATAGCGGGAAATACGAACGAAAGATCAAGTCTACGCTATTTAGTGTAAACAATGTCAGACCTTTTAAATTCCTTACAAATGTACAAGTATAAACMAAAGATCACAATATCAACTGATGATCATTGTTTAAAATACCCAAGGGAAACGTGTGTTCCAGCAAACAATATTATTTACACTATGAACATTCCAAACGACCACCTTACAAGGCACTAATGAACTCAAGGATCAGAGCGTGCTATCCCAATACTCGTTTGTCGATGTTTTGGACGTTTCGATTTTAGCCCAGTATTGTATTAAGATAAAGGATCGTTGCACAAGAGTAGAAAATTTGATCTTCAAAAGTTYAAACCTCAAGGGAACTTGTAGAAAGCTCTATTTTGGTGGGAAAACCCGCTGACTCGTTCCGGGCTCAAATGTCCGGAATTTCTGGCCATGCTTTATAGTTGACCAGGAATCAGATGCGCACCCCCTGCACCCACGGTGTCAGCTGGATCAACTCCTGCTCCCACATGTAAAAAAATACGACATAAATTACCTTCCTGAGTTCTTGTTCAGCTCATCCATGAAATATTTGACAAGTTGCACCACATCTTTCTCCTTTATTACATCATTAGCGTTGACATGACTTTYTTTTAAAACAGGACCGAATCGCATAAGATTCGTTTCATCAGAAGGAAATATGTCAACAAAAACCGATTTTCTTATTCCTTCATAGCGTGAAACATTCCAACTTTTTGTGTAATAAGTTGGATCGTACTTACAGTTAGGAAATGCATCAATGACGTCATTTTTATTTCTGTCCATATAAGGTAAAATTCGAACAGTCTCTCTGTTATATTCAGTACCGTCCAAATCAAGGTTTGATCCTAATATTGCTTTGATGTAGTCTTGTTTTAATGTGAATATGGGTATTTTGCTCTTCTTAGTTCTTTCTTTGTCCAACGGATAAACTTCCCGTAAAGGTTTATCTTCGTCTTCAAAAAGTTTAAGGCTTGGGGGTAAAATATCATCTTCGTTCTCATCTTCTTCCTCGAATGTTTCTGGTGTTTTGTAAAATGACAAAAGCTCCGAATATTCCGACACATGATTTCCAGTTATATTGGTGAATAAAGCTGTTCCTGGTAACATCCAATACAAAATAACTTCCCCATTTTGTTGAATAGGATCATTTAGGGCATGCAGAATCTCAAAGTAATATTTGCTACCTCTTCTCAAAAAGATGGCTTCTGAAACAGGCTTATTGTCGCCTACATGAAAACTAAGAGTTTTTATAATATTGAGCGAGGTATAAGCTATTCGGACGGCTTTCATTGGTTCAGTTGTGTTACTCAGCCATAACTGACCCAATGTAGGAGAATTGAGATAAAATACATAGTACCCAGTCTTTGTCGGATGAAGATATCCCATGATTCTAATTGCGGTGAATTTCCCTTTGAAGTTGAACTTAATGGAATCTCGAGAGACAATCATAAATTTCCTTTTGTTTGGGAAATGGGGAAATAACGGAAATTGTCTTAAACTGTTTATGCTAAGCGAACAAATATCTTGCCAGATATCAATGTTGACTTTCCCTTCTTGACTACTGTTTGTTTCAAGAAGAATTGATTTTTCAAGGTAATGATTTTGTAAATACCAGTTAAATATGTGCAGTATTCCAGGAAGTAAAGCCATGGTTGCCAACAAATAAACCCTAAAAAGAGGCAGCTTCATCCTATCAAAATAAATTAATTTAAGCAAGACGGGATGGATTGCCGGGTTTTTATTGGTGAAATAAAGCAGGCAGGAATCAGTGTTGGGAGGACACTAAAAATCGCCTAAAAAGTTACAACAGCCAGTGATTTTGACGTTTTTTAATGTGTTTTCCCAGCATTCTCGCATGCTTTATTTCACCGATAAACGCACGGCAAACCATCCTTTATTGCTTTTATCTTGTAGAAACTGTTAGTCATGTTCACGAGTGTGCATTTACAGTCAAAATAGGCCACTCTCTTGGACCAATCAGAACCTATTACACTGTGTTAGAGTACAAACATTAAATGTGTGCAACACTTTCCACTATTTACTACAAAATAGTGTTAATTAAACAATAGAAAACAATAGAATTAGCGTAATTTAGCAGTATTTAATGGTATTTATGTTGCTCAGTTTTAGTGTCTGTACTCTATAAATAGCAATATACCATGTAAGCGAGGTAATTTCATAGGGTGAACATAACAATGTTCAAATTATGATTTTTAAGGTCACCGAAAAATATTTTTATATGACTGCGTCAGTGTTAATCACGAAGCTCATATTTCGAAGTGTGCAAAAAAAAAATTGAAATTCCTAACTAATTTCATTGTCTTCCCTATCGACTATTCTTAAAATTTCAGTACAGAAGGGAATAGCCTCGAAGCTATGAATCAAAAGAACTAAAACCGGTTGGAATATTTTTAACAATTTTGAGGATGATGCAGCCATTTGAAGACGTGTGGTCGCATGGCCTCGGGTTTCACAGAAAAACAACTGACAAAGGCCTTTTGTTGCACTTCAGAATTCACGCGGATTTCAGATACAAGAAAGCGCTGTCAAATTCCTGTACAGATGTTTTAAACTTTCGTTAATGAGGTTAACCAGCTGAAAAAGATCTTCAGTAAGCTACAGTGCTCAATAAAACTCTTCAACTCGACTTTCTAAAAAACAGAACGACGCCAATGCGATTGACTATGCGACCGAACGTCTTCAAATGGCTGCATCATATATAGAAGTGCTGATGGCTGTTTTACTGCAATCGGCTGACATTCTGCATTGGTCAATGATCAGGTATCAAACCTGAGACCTTTGTTAGGGTCATGGACCTTTATATCTAATAAAGGTCACCCTTATTAGTATTTTTTATATAAACAACACTAATAAGGAGTGTTTTATCAGACATAAAGGTCCATGAATGTGACAAAATAGGCTCATTCTATTGGCATAATAACTCATTAATTGTGTATGAGTTTTTTTAAAAGTCGGTTACAAAAGCCGGCACCTATTTCAACGGATTAAAGAGCACCAGTGGAGTGTTGACGGCCAACATTACAAGACCTGTCACCATGGAAACGCAATGGGCTTTGAAAAGAACTTTGCTGGATACTCTCGAATACGAGTTGTTGTTTATGAAGATCTCAAGCCAATATTAAACACACAATCAGACTCCACTCGTTCAAAACTCTTTTGAACACAAACAATGTATTCCCTAAAGGCAATATTCAAATTTGTAATCTTAGACTCTTAGAATACATTGCTCTTGAAAATGGTACCTGATGGCACCGAAAGGTCGAGTTTACTTTTCGCAATAAATGTTTTATTATACACCTACTTGCAGAAACTTTGTCATAGAAAATAAGACATAATGTTTTGTTTTAATTAATTCCTTTTTACTAAATTCAAATGTTCTATTTTCTATGACAACGTTTCTGCAAGTAGGTGTATATATAACGAGACTTTCATAGAGTAATTGCAATAAATAAAAATCTGTATATACATGTGAAAAATAGCGATGCATCCAATTAGAAGCGCGAGTTGTGGCAAAATGGCTGAAGGTGAACTGTGTTTGTTGATGAAGATTCCACATTTGAAGAGTTTATCAGTGGACAGGAAAGCAGACACATAATTAAAGCAAAGTATGACGAGGTGTTTTTCTTGAAGAGAATTAAGTTTTGTCATCCAAAATTAACATGAAAGCATGGAAAATATCAGGTCAAAACTATRCTACTTAAACGAACAGAAATTATAGAAATTTGTCTCGAGTGCAGTTCAAGTTGTTTTACACCAAATTTTGACAGTTTTCTGCAAAATTAAAACTAATTTCCATGCAATATATAAAGACAGGACATCAGTTAGAAAAGAGATGTACCTGTAGAAAGCAGAATCAACTCAAAGGGAAAAGGAAATTATCTCACATTCCGACCAAGAAGTAGGTTGTTTCTCGACGAAAAACYTTTATTTGTTGTCTTAACCTGTACTTACTATAAAATCTCACTAAAACTTGTACGTTCGTGCAGCTCCATTGGAGTTTTTACGGACACTTCGACTATTAATTTAGTTTTTTATTTATCAWGCTTAATATCTTTGCACGTTAAATTCTCATTAATCTCCAAAGGGATTAAAAATATGGATAACAAAAAAAATGCATAGGGTTTTCAGGTAGTAAAAAATAAGCAAAAAACAGCAACATCACACTCGAAAAAAAAAAACGAAAAGCACATGAAGTTATAAATGATGAACCCCACAATATGATATTTCATTTGACATTCAGACGTTTTGCAAAACGCTATAAGGAACAAAGTGGAGCGCGAAATTGGAGTACAACAGAGACATTTGTTGAAACCGCTAGACATATATTCTGGAATCATTTTTAATATATAGTACTCAACAATGAGACAACGAGTTCGAATTCTTTAGTTGAAGAAGTAAAAACTTGACGCCAAACATTGATTTTTGCAGAAATAATCTCTTAAATATCTGAACAAACTTACTTTGTCTAAAGGATAGGATATCTTGAAGGAAAAAATAACCAACCTTGGCGATTCTTAAGGGGATTATCAACCTCGTCCAAACGGTCCTTCTCCGCTACTCGGCAGAGCGATGCTAGGCAAAGACCAAGTCTGTGAAAAAATTTATTTATCATACAACGAGAAACACTTCGTGGAACAAACCGTGTCCAGGTTACTTCACTAAGTGTTTTGAATCAGCACCGTAATTGATTTAATAGATTCTGCGTATAATCTTCGCCCATCATTTATTCTGAACATTTTTATCATTGCAGCGAAAATTTAGCATTCGAATTGCATTCTCATTGTACTCTGAGGATTTAAAAGGTGGAAGGTCACTTCGCATTTTAGTACAAAAAAGAATAAGTATATTTCAAGAGTTAAAAAAAGAAAGAAAGAAAGAAAAGAATTGTTTACAAGTGCTCGAGTCGAGAATCGAACCCGCGATTTTCAGGTCAACACAGCTATTCGAGTATATTTCAGTTAAAAAGAAAGAAAGGAGAAAACAAGAAATAATGAATAACGTAACGTTCAATTTCGAATTTTAGGTGCTTAGAGGTTGATCGCGGCTCGGCTTTTGGCGAGCTTTACCATAATTATCTAACTAATGAGTAATGCTGAATGACACGCAAAACTACCTAATCCTTCCAAAAGTCGGCAATTCCTACTATACTGATTTCGCTTTCAGATGGTAATTCAAAGCCTTTCTCGTGTTTTGCCACAACAATCCCGCGTGTTTCTAAGCAGAGAATGGAAACAAGGAAAATGTATTCTAATATTTTTATAAAATAACAACTCTTCGCTTGAAAGCCTTTGTTTTTCGGAACATCCAGTTTCCCTGGGCAACTATCACAGCACAATGAAATGCCCTCGTTTCAACTACCCAATTGTTTAAGATGGAATAGAATAGATAGAATAGATATGTGTAGCCGACTTTCCAGATTTTGCAGACCAATGATCTGAATAACATCTGGATTACTTTGTGAGGGACTTGGTCAGACTGCTATTGAAGGGGCTTTTTAAAAGCAGCCGTGCAGTTTTCAAACATGAGGAAGTTAGATTTGTTAGAAACACGTTTCTCCCACATATTAGCCAATCAATGTGTCCGTTATATAATTGTTATTTTTTAAATTAGGTAGAGCGGATTTCGTATGACTGTGCAAAAATCACGGTACTTTCGCGCTGTGACCGTACCGTGCCTTAGCGGTGATGTATTGTTAAATCTTTATTTTCATTTGGAATCCTAGAAGGCGAGGTTCCGTGACCGTGCCGTGTCCGGGGTGTGATCCGTGCCGTTGCACAATCATACGAAATCCGCTCTATACACCCTTTTAATAAGTCCCGAGGCATTACGTTCTCCGCACTTGACGTCAAATTTATTCTTTTCMATTCCTTTTGTATTGTAAAAATTTCAAAAGAATAAATTTGACGTCAAGTGCGGAGAACACAATACCTCGGGACTTATTAAAAGGGTGTATAGAAACAATTATTTGTGATTCAGTGAAATTTCAAATCTGTCATTCGCATCTTTTTAACTTTTTCCGAAGCGAGGCGAATTTGATCAAATGCCGTGATCCCCCTCAAATGTTGTGTTTCAATCTCATCCATTATACTTCCACTATTAGCTAACACGTACATTAGATACAGAAAAAACAAGGTCACACGTATCTACCTTCGGAAAATCATGCCAACTTCAATTGACTGATATCATCAGCTAAAATAGCAAGACAAAATTCTTGATTTCGAAGTAAAAAGTAACCTTACCACCCGAGGTAAGGATAACAAATTCCTAAAATACTATGTATACAAGTGAAGCTTAACCAAGACCCTACTTTTTCTTTCAAACTTTGTTCAAAAAACAAAGACGTTTTTTGATCTCGACCTTAAGAGCAAGAGTCTGTAAAAATCGCCTAGACCTCGGAAATCTTCAAAAAAATCAAATCGCTCAAAATTCCGCAGTTTGTAGCTACACATGACCTCTCACTAATGGTGTATGTTTTGGCTCGATTGCATTATTATTTTTCGAGAAATATTTTTTTTTTAGTTCGGGCCATCTAAAGTGATTTTCAAAGGCAGCGACCATACCTCTAAACGAGCGAAGTTTTTAAGAAATACTCACACCTTTTCTAAACAAAACCATATTTTCTTTAACTAGATATAATAAAGAACAATTTGAGTGATTTTTATTTCAATCCGTTACAATAAGAATATTTTCAAGATTTTTCAAAATTAGCGACTTTTCGCCTATTTCACACATTCAAATTTTGTGTAAATTTATCGTCAAAAATCCCACACTGGCACATGACTCTGAGGTCTAAAACTATATTCCAGTGAAASAVCATTATTTCTTGTTGCAAAATATGAAATAATATTTTTGGGCTATTCAAAGGGTGGGATTGTAGAAGGTCTGTTACACATGACACTTTCACTAAAA